CTTCTCTTCTCAAAACTTTATATACCATATCTCTTTAGAATACATTTTATTAAAGTGGAAATTAATTGTAAATGTTTATATGTCCAGTACAAGCTCATGTTCAAATGTGTAAATAAATTCCTAGTGAACATTTTATGAACTTTGCACTTTTGGTATTCAGCTATTCATACTTGGAGATCTGCCTTTTCTTCTAGAATCTTAGATGCTGTAAAACTGCATTTTTTTTTTAATTGCATTGCCTTAAATACAAAGGACAGGGGTAACTTGGAAAGAGTCATATTGAAAAATCAAGATAGAGTTAATCTTGCATCTTTCAGTCATATACAGTTCCTATAATGTTCCCAAATGGTATAATGACTAACCAAAGCCATTAACATCATACCTGTAATCATACACAGTCATAAAAATACTGTTACAATTTTTAATTAGTCAAAAGACTGGAAATGGCTGGTTAGGAAGAGCTATCATTAGCAAAGCTTAAATGTTTGGTTGTTTTTAGAAATGTGCTTTCAACATTTCAGTAGCAGCTTTGAGTCAGGCACACTGGTGAGGTTTTATTTAATTTAGTCAAAACACCCAGTTGGAAGAAACAGCTGGAGAAAACTGAGAAATAAGGGAGGAAATGAGCCCGTTTACTCTGACTGTAGCCTTCTTCCCCAGCAGCTGTAGAAGGACAGCTGGGCAGGGTCACCAAAGCACCCAATGGCTGAGGCTACTTTTGCAGAAGAGGGGAAAGCATTTCAGTGAGCTCAGAGCTAAATTATTTCTGCTTGTACACCATTGTCTTCAAGCAATATACTGTCCCATCCACGAAGAAAAGACATGTAAGGGGAAAACAGTCATCCATTAATCTCCTCTGTCTGCCTGTTTTTTGTGGAAAAGTGAAACTTATTGCCTGTGTTGCCCTCTGTAGCTGCAGCCTGAGACCTAGCAGGGGAGTTGTGATCACCCTGCAGCTGGGAGCTGCCACTAAAGCCAAATTTTGTACAATACCTTTAGCTTAAAATAACTTGGCAGAACTGATTTCTGTTTTAAGACTCACAGTGGATATACATTTCCACTGAAAAAGAAGGTTTTTGTGCTGCTCCTGTAGTAAAGCCTCCAGGTGAGAATATCTAGCTCAGTTTTTCTAACAGAGGAATGAATATCTCTCTCCTTTCTCCAATGCAAGTGTCAGTAATCCCAGTTTAGCTGCAGCTGTGCTGATAAAAAGGGTCTGGAGAAGTGAGAAGTCAGGAGGTGCCTGCACAGGTAGCCTGGCCCATTAGGTTGGGTGTTCCAGGCTCTTCAGGTTTTGAGAGGTAGACCCTATTAAATCTCTGTAATTGTGAAATGGGAAGAGTAGTACTTTACAAAAAAAGTAGTCCATTTTTACAGTACTGCTTGAGGCACAAGTGTATGAGATAGAGAGATAGATAAAGGTACTGTAGTACAGCTTAATGTTTGGAAAGAGCTGCTGTAAATGAGGTCTTTTCTATCTTTCTGAGCTTAGACCTCTTAAGAGGTCCTTTAGTTTGCTTTGCTCTGAACTCAGGGAACCTGGATGTAGGTGTTAAATGAGGAACATATGCTCTGAAGGTAAAAGTTGTCCTGTAAAATACAAATGTCTTAATCTCAGTTGTACTGTTTGCAAAGTACACTGACAGCGCTTTGAATGCAGTGTAAATTAAATACAATTAAGCCAATTGTGTTTGTTTTCACAGCTAAATCTTTTGGATTGTAGGATTGATGGACATAATGAAGGATTTAGATTTTAAATGCTGTGTTCTGAAGCTTTATCTGTACATTCGTTACTCACAAAGCTATAATAAAAAACCTAGATTTTGGTGATCAAATGGCTGAGAAAACAAGTGGGTCAGTTGTGGGGCTGTCATTTCTAAGTATGAACTACATAATCTTCATGACTGCAGATAGCAACATGGGCCCGGTTTTACTTTCAGTGCTTCATCCTGCACTTTTTTGTGTTTCACTAGAAACACAGCAAAACAGCTGACAATCTAGTCAGCATTTTCAGCTGAAAATTTGCCTTGCCTAATGAGCAACTCTTAGTAATAAATCCACTATTGGCATAGCAATTGTCTTGTGGGTCTTTGTGGGTCATGACATAAAGCATCTTTGAAAGCATTCCTAATTAAACCAAGGAAAATTCCAGCATTAGGAAAAAGCAGAAGCATAGCTGAGATCCATACTACTCACTCCTTGGATAAGCATGGCATCAGGTAGGCTTTGGCTGAGTCTATCTGCCTCATGTAGGCTAAAACTTAGAGATACAACTTTTCTCCTACCTGTACTGCATCTACTTGAAGCTTATCAGTTGTAGCATCGTGCCAGTTTGGTGTACAGTGTTTGTTAACCTTCAAAGGAGCAGCTGCAGCCTGCAGATAAGTAAACCTTTTTTCTTTGAGGTGAAAAGGAATTTTAATTTATTTCCTTTGTAACAGATTTAAAGCTTAGTGCCTTTTTATTTTTAATAATGAAAATTACAGTGGTGATGCGTGATGATTACTTTTGTGAAGTTCCTTCTACCTAGCATCTAATGTTAACAATAGAAAAAAGACTATAAGGTGCTGGAACTTTACTAGCAACTTATTTGGAAATGTCTAATAATTGCAGTTATTTAATTCTTAGTTCAAAATTTGATTATGAACACTTTGTCATAGACACATGAGGTGACTCTTCTTGGTAGCAAGTGGCAATTATGTGCATTTAATGAGACATTAATGTATTCTGGTAGTTTGTGGTTTGGCACCATGTTGAATGTTTGGAGGGGGTTGTCCTCCACAGATGTGACAATTAAGTTCCTTCAGTTTAGATACTCTTTAGACTGAATTTTAATTATAGAATTGCTGTAAGTAGAAATAAAAAGAAATACTGACTATCCCAATGAAGTCTAATGTCTTCTCCCAGCTGTTTGAAAAACATGCAATTCTGATAATTTACTTCTTTGCTGTGTAAGGAACTAGTCTATAAATCCTATTGTTTTCTTGAAAAGAGTTCTTAAACACCAACATGCCATAACTTTCTACATTTTAGTCAGCAAGAAAATACTTATTGCCTTTCTAATACACAGATATGTTTCTTCTAATAAGAAGCAAAAACGCATTCAACTAAGGTAGGCCAAAACTACTTCTCAAAAGCTGGTGTCTCCTCCTTTTCCTCCCTGCATTCCACAGTTCAGCAATGTGTGTGTTTGTAACTCTAGCTTCTTGATTTAAATGTAATTATGCTGAGAGAATGGGCTGGAAACTGCTGCTGCTTCTGTTTGTGATACTATGAAAGTGCAAGAAGTTTAGAAGAGGGAAGATCTCAGTGGATTTTCCATAGAGAATGTGTTTATTTGCAGCAAAATTAATGAGTATCTTGCTAAAGGTCCTAGAAAAAGAGGAAGGCTGAAAAGTGACAACTCCCACTGGGGTTGAGCTTCGGAAAATATGTGTGAGTGGTATGTACCACATTTGGGGGTTTTCCCTGTTTACTCTGAGGTAGAATATCTTCAATTTTTGTAGTGGGTCAGACTGCTTTTTAAAGAAGCAGCTTGCTTGATTTATTACATTATCAGGGGAAAGGATCTATTCCAAACACATGTATGGTTCTTGCATATCTCAAGTAATTATGACTAGATCAGAAGCAGAAAGCTACAGAAGAAACTATGCAAGGAAGAAACTCCTTTATTTATAATGTAAGTTCTGTCTCACCCTGCACTGAAGAGGTAAAGCTTTTATTTTACTTTTCGTTGAAAGAATATTTCACTTTTTATTCACTTTCTTGGTCCAGTTTCTTCTTCTGTTTTATCACCTTGGAAGAGTTTTCAGCAGAGACATTAGCCCTAGATTATGTAGGAGTTAGATTAACTCTTAAACAGTTGTTTGAAGCAAGTGTGATCTTAACTGATATGCTCAAAAGCTAGTCCCTACCTTATAAAAGAAGTATTTTATGGTTGTCTAATCTTTTTGATCCATTTTTGCCTGTACATTGCTTATTACTGGCGCTGTTTGTTATAGTAGATGTCAAAGTATTTCTTGAGGTTTCCATAGACAACAACCTTTTTGTAAACCCTTCTCTGTTCTGTATTCTTTTATATCAGAAATCAAGAGGCTGGCAGTTCATAATGCCTATTTTGTAGACAATTTTGCCATAGCAACAATGTAGACTTAGATTTCAACTGTGATAAATGTTTTTTCTAATTTTCTAAATTCACCATTTTATGGATGTGTTCTCGTATGTACATATTTCCTTAGAGAAGATCTTTTCCTTCAGTACCTGACATAACTGCTCACAGGTTACTATCGCTTTCTGACCATTGGCATCCTGACAAGATGTTTTTTTTGAAAAAATACTTAAAAGTCTGAAACTCTTTGAGTCCACATAAAATTTAACTCCTCTCTCGAGTTCATCTCAACTGACCAACTTGTTTTGAAGTATGTCTTGCTGTACTGCAAAATGTTGGACTTCACATCATAAAATAGATTTTAAGTGTTGTGACTGTTTGTATAACGGGTAATACCGTGGTCTGCTGATGACAGTAAAATCAAGGGCCGGATAGGAATGTCTCAAAGTATTCAAGTAAGATAAAAATCTGTTAAAAAACTTTTCCTCATGAAGAATATGGATTTTGAACACCCCTCTGATCTTTCAGATTGTTTACCTTAGTATTTGTCGTGAAGAGTGGTAAGAGTGTAAAAGTAGTTATACATGCTAATATTGGAAATAAATTACATTTCTATATTTCAGTGAGTGTCTGGATTGCTACAAAGAGACTGCATTTATAAATTTCACTTCCCCTTAGTTGAAAAACCTCCAGGTTTTATCTAAACTACAGAAAACATTTGGTTTCAAACAGATTTGACTAAATAAAACTGTGCTTCTCAGACTTCTTGCAGCATTACAATTTTAGGAAGAGAAAAAAAAAAAAAAAAGAGAAGGAAAAAGGATTGGACTACTGATTAGAGTTCTTGGGACCTGGCTGTGTTTTGTGCAGCAGCAGCAGCAGCCTTGCTTGGGGCAGAGCCGTGTCCATGCACACAGCCCAGCTGTGCTGCCACAGAGCAGATCCCAGCCTGTGAGGCAGAGCCCGAGGAGCCAGTGGGATCCTGGAAACTTTCATGTGCCTGTGTGCCAGAGAGGGGGGAGAGGGAGACCTGGAGCAAAGGCGAGTAGGGAGGAAGGCAGGGAGAGAAGGGAGCTCTCCTCACACGCTGCTGAGGCTCTCAGAGGCAGGCTGTACGTGCAGCTCCCCGGCTGGTGTGCAGTCCGAAGGACAACATTCATTGACTCTGCTCATTGAATCGCTGAAGGACAGATATGACACCCAACTGCTGCTTCTACATGTTCTTGCTTATTGGTACCAAGGGTAAGTGTCCCTGGCTTCCTTTCTTGTTTTGAACATTGCAGAGCAGACAGCTGATAAACTTCAGGAGCGGCTTTCTTTTAAAAAGCATTATATCTCAGTGTTATTTTGCATTTCTTCATGTCAATTATTTTTCAATAAAATCAAACTGTAATGCAGTCTCTCAAGGTTACTAGCTACATGTCAGGATCAGATGTTTTTTGCACTTAATGCCTTGAGTGTTACTATGAATAGTTATAAGCTGAAATTTAAAAATGAGAGAGCTTAAACATTGCATAAATACTTGCTGTAAATATTTATTGAAGATACCTGCAGAACTGACTTAACTCAGATGTCATGAAATCCAAATTTTAGACTCAGTTCAGTAGTTTGAAGTGATACAGTGCAAGTGCTACTAGAATAGGTAGTTCTCAGAGGGCAGAATGTGTTCAGGTAAAGGGAATTTTTAGCATGATAGGCAGTTTAACATACAAGACATAACATACAATATTAGTTTCCCTTCAGATGCAAATCAGTGTGGTGGGAGTTAGACCAGACATACTGCTTACTTCAGTTGTGTTTTCTTCATTTCATTTGAGTACCCTGTTTGTAAGTGCTTCTTATGACTTGGTAAAGCTGTCCCTGTGAAGCTGCTGATGCTGATCTATATGTTGAACACTCCTAATTATAATCATTTTTTTGAGTTGTAATTATTATAAATTGCTTTCTCTTGCACAACGTCAATACTAAAGTAGTGTTTCATTGATTGCGTAGCTGAAAATAGCTACTCTTTATAATATGAACAGTTTTGTTAACATAATAAGAGCAAAATGTTGAATTCTGTCATCTTCTTTTGTAATGTTCAACAGCTTGTTCTCTTTCCTGTTTTTAAATGAAATAATTTTGGGTTAATGTGTTCGTAGGATGCTGCTTAAGATAAGATTTGTAAGGGGTATTGCCCCCACTAGGAGTCTGGGAAATAGAGCTCCATACACAGCTATTTTTCTAGTTGCAAAACTCAGTTAAATCAGTGAAAAAAAACTAAGCAGTTCCTGTCTGGTTTAGAGGAATATATAATTGCAAGCTGTATGCATGAAAAAAACCTGTGATATTAATGCATTTGGAATTAAGAAAGCAACAATAATGACATAGTATCAAACCTGTGAGCAAGGTCTGGTTTCATATGCACCTGCATTTTCCATGAGCTATAATTCGAAATTTAAAGTAGTACTACCAGTTATGCAGAATAAAGGCTAAGTGTTTTCAACAAAGCCCTTCACATTACTGTTTTCTATGTCAAATCATTAAAACATAGAAACATTCATAAAATATAGGCAAATTGTTGCTATAATTTCTGCTGTTAAATTAATCTCTGCTATGGAGTTTATTAAACATATTGGAATATATTAAAGCATACTGCAGGCAGATGAGGACTGTGAATGACTACAAGCCTACTAGTTATGATGGCCATTACCATTTTAGGTTTATACATCATATATAGTGTATTATATTTAAGAGAAAACCACATGGCTCATCTAGCCTTGTTAAAGCGAAGAGTGAATTCATCGATTAAAATGCATTCGTGCCTGAAGTCTCTGGCACCTGTTAGTGCTCTGTTTTGCACCAAAATTGGTTCCTGTTCAGTGTCACATCTCCTCACCTTGCTCAGTGCACTGTTCACAGCTTCACTGCCTTTCAGAGTTTTAGCCAGTAATGCAAATTATAACCACACCTACAACTGCTGATTTCATCTACTCCATAGACATCAGCTCTTCTCAAGCCTTTAGGCTAGCTGATATTAAACATTCCTGGAGTAAGGATAGCTGTCCTTAGAAATTGGATTTTTTTTTTTTTTTTTTTTTTTTTTTTTTTTGTGGACTGCTGCAAGTTCAGCTGCGTTTTGTTGTGGTTTTCATGTTTAGTGCTGGTATTTTTTTTTTATTTCTAAAAAGTCACAGATCCTTCTAATTCTTTAAAAAGTAAAATAAGGAGTATGTATTGTACAAAAGCTACTCATTTGATTTACCTGGATCCATTCAATTCAACAGCTGAAATTCAATCACTGTTTTTACTCTCTTCTCTGAGATCTTTCATTAAATTTTTTTTTTTGTGTGTGTGTGTGTATGAAAAGCTTTTCCCTCCGAAATCTAAGTAATCAAATGCATTCAGGCAATCCAGCTGCTATCTTCCCAAGTGGAATTCAACATCCCAGGTAGATCTTTCTATGAAAACAAAGCTTTCTATGAAAACAAATCTCTGTCATGATTTTTGTCAGCACAACAGCAGTGATTATAACATGGAGATAAGTAAATTCAGACTCCAGCTGTGGAACTGGCAGTGCTGGATGTGTAGCCAGGATGAACTTCTGCCTGGGTGGGTCACTGCCCTTGCAAAGCTTGAGCAGGTCACTTCAGTGTGTGGCTGGCATTGCACTGGCTGCTGCTGCATCTTAGGAAAATAATCAGCTGTACCTGCTGCAACCATGCAGGGCACAGTTGTGCCTCCAGAGTCCCTTTGATTGGCTTTCTGGGGACAAAAGCTTTTTTATCCTCCTGGACCTTGGCTAAGTGACAGGATCTCAAACAATCCATTTATCAATCATTAAGCAAAACAGAAGAACATTAGTAGTGAACAGTATTCAAAGTGAGTTCCAAAAGGGATTTGGCAGGTTCCTTGTGAAAAACAATTACAACTCTTACAAGTTTAACCCTTTATGTTCTGTGTGTCTACCTGATGCTTCCAATCCTATTTATGCTTGTACCTCCAGCTCCTTTAGCCTCCTCAGTCTGTTCTCCCATCATATTTTTTCCATCCTTTACCCTCACATTAAAATTCCAAGGACAACTTTCTTTAAACCATCTGAATCTCATTACTTGTTCTGGTACTTCATGCAGGTGACAGCTGTTTTCAAGGCCAAGATCTTTTATACCAAATGCTTTCTGTTAAATGTGGGAAAGAGACAAGCCTGAATCCTTCAGAAAATTACAAGTTTATGATTGTGCTCCTGTTTACATAGTTTGTAACATATTTTAAGATTCCTTCCAGATTTCTAAATAGGAAAGTGAAATTACTTCAGCCTTTGCACAAGCTCAAATAATCATTGTGTAATAATAATATTGGGTTATTTCTTTCATTTAACTTGGACATTAATCTGTCTGGCTTTCCTGTACTTAGAAGAACAATGTGCATCTTGTGAATATACATGTGTATAACATGAAAATCAGTATATTTATAGAAAACTGGGGATGCAAGCTAGATTTCCTGAGGAAAATTTACCCTAGTATCAGTTAGAAGGCAGTGAAAATTCTACACAACAGTAAACTGGAGCTTTGAAGGTTAGATCCTGCAACTGCCGCTTGGACAAGAATGTTTTGGCCACTTTGTTAATAGCCCCAGGAGCTACCCAAGTTGAAAACCTTTATTGACTGTTGATAGCAACTCTAGCAGACTTGAACCATTTGCTCTGAAATTTCATGTGCAATCTGTGGACCTTGAACAAGAAGACAAGCAAAACTTTATCAAATTTTTTTTCTGAATATGAGGAATCATTATTTTGCCTACACTGATCAATTTGGATAATCTTGTATTAAGCAAAGCATTTCTTAAACAGTACTTTTAAGTACTCTACCATGTCACTGTGCCTAAGAGACAATCCTCTGATGGGCCATCCCACTAGAGCTGATGAGGCTGCTCAAGCCTGGTTGCACTAAAATAAAAATAACCTTTTCTAATAGATGTTGCTTGCTGCTAGAGACCAGTGTGACGCTCAGAGGATCTGTCACCAGTCATCTCAGCATGCATTTTCTCTTGAGTGCCATGACTTTGAAGCCTTCAAATCAGGCTTTGAAATGGCTTGTGCAAGGCTAGGGGGTAGAGGAAGCTGAGAGGATCAGGAAGTCATAACAATTGTGTCTGAAAGGCAGAGGAGGTGAAAATGTATTGGGAAGGACTGGAAAAGGATGATGAAGGCAGAGACAAAAGGGACAGGTAGATGGGAAAATCAAGTTGAGGGAAAAGACTAATAATGCTACTTAGAAAGGGAAATGGAAATCAGGAGGACTATTAGTCTGGGAGAATGGAGACTGAGGACAGGGATGTGAAAGAGGGAGCCAGCAGGGAACAGAAAGTTAATTAAAGAAGAAGGAGAGGGAGTTCTGAGAGAGGCGAGTGAGCATCTGAAGAATGAATCCAGAGGATGGTGAGATCAGAACCAGGATTCTTTACAGAAAGAAGGGGATGAGATTATGGGAAGCAGGTAGTGATCAGACAAGAAAGGATGGGAATGAAGCCACTGGGGTGAGGCAAAGATGAGCCTGAGCAGAAAAAGGAGCTGTGCTTGGTAGGGTGAGCTCTGTATTACAAAGCCTGAACAAAGCCCAAGATTGTCCTGTGACTTATTGACTTCTTTCAAAATGTCTCCTCCAGAGCAGCACCTCTGCTCAGAGACTGGTAATCAGCACTGTCAGATCACTCTCCCCTCTCAACAAACAGAGGTCTGGAGAGCTGAAGAGCTAAACTAGTGATGCAGTATGGTGTCCTGTTACAAAATTCTGGAGGGAAACTGATTTCCTCTTCTAATAGTAAATGTTACCTATGTCAGAGAAAGTTATTAATATGGTAAACTCAATACTTAGGAATTTAGGCAAAGGACACAATTTGTGCTATGTGCCCATACTAAATTTTCTTCATATTATAACTCTACAAAACCACATGTTTTGTGTCCTGCATTAAAAAGATTAATCAAAAATTTTGGTGAATTATGTGTGATCCCTTCTTCATTTGCTGTAGAAGATTTAAAAAATGTGGATGAGGCTGGGGATTACAAAATGAAGACCATTTCATGAAAGCAACAGAACTCTGCTGTAGAAAACTTTTCCTATTTCTTGCTCTAAAAGACTTACAACTGGATAATAATTATATAGCAGATTTCCTGGGGGTTTTGGTTTGATTATCCTGATATGGCAATGTTCATTATGTGGCTGCCACTGACATCTGTAAAACCTGTGCTCTAAGTAGTCTGTGAA